GCGTTTAAACTTTATTTATTTTTTTATTTTTTTAAAAAGGAGCTCCGATTGAAAATTAAAATAAATCAATACATACAAAATTTTAGTGTGGATTACAAACGTTTACTGCTGTTGCCTTCCTGCTACGTAAGCAGACACAAAGCATTGTGGGAAATCAGAACTGTGACTGAATGCAACAGCAAGGATGTATACCTTCACAATAAGTGTGTTTATCTGGGAGGAGTGCTGTTGGACAGATCACGTGTTGTGATTCGACAGCCATACCTTCTGCTGTTCAAGATAATGATGACTGGTAGATAATTAGTTATTAGCAGTACTGCATTTTAATTTTAGAAAGCACAAATCCGCTTATGAATTATAAAAATTAGTAAGATCGTTAAAGCGCAAATGAAATTCTTAGGTCCGCAATTAGTGGATTTGCGCCTTAGTGGGCAGGTGCCCACCACTGCTAACATGTCTGCATACAAATACTCACCCTCTGAGAACTGCAGCCGGTCTCGCTCCAGTTCCCACAGTCTGATCTGATCCGTTATGGTTGGAGGCAGCACTGGGGTCTGAAACACAAGCAGGAAACAGGACTTGGTGTAAAACCTTTAACCCTTCATGGGAGTCAACGACACTTATAGAAATTAGAATGTGTGTACCTGTGTCAGCATTACAGGGTGAGCTCTGGTCTTTAGAAAGTGGATAATCTAAATAAGAGAAAATAAGATTTAAAATCCTCTGACATGTCCAGTTTTAATAATCCTACATTTTATTTAAAGCTTCAGAAAAAAACAACAACTTGAAAGTCATCACACAAAGTTTGTACAACCTTCAAAAATCAAACCAGGCTTTTTGCAGGTTTCAAGTTAAATTAATAAAAACCTTTTAAGACCATTAGGAATGACATCTAAGAGCAAACTGATGCATTAACAGAAACATTCAAATGGTCCCAGACACTTTAACACAGAAACCTTTTACTGCTAATAAAGATGATTTTAATTTAAATACAAAAACACTAAATTATTTCAGTGTTAAAACAGAAAACACAACTTCACTCTACATTAGCTTGAGCTCATCTCCTTTAGCACCAATGTCCATTTCAAGAGTTTAGAGTTGTCCTTATGTGCAGAAAGCTGGTGTTTCTCCATCTGCAGCTGTGTCTGCAGGTATCACAGGATCAGTAGTTTGACTGGGTACCAACTGATAGCAAACCTGGCACCTCATGAACACTATCAGCCTCTCATTACTGTGCTTTACTATGTTTATTTATGCAGCCAATGCGTTTTAGGAATGATTGACAGTAAAAAAATAAGACTTGGCTAAATTAAATGTAAGACCTTGGATGAAAATCTTGGTGTTTTAAAGGGGCAATATCATGTAAAATAAACTTTTTTGAGTTTTATTTCATGTTACAATGTTATACTCTCATAAAAAGCATGCCCAAAGCCTTGCTTTGACTCATTCATGCATGT